TGACTGGCTCATCTCCTCCCCGAGACCCCTCTGCAAGGGGATCTCCAGTAGTAGCCTTACTTTTGACTCACTTAGTTCAGCATTCGAAAGTGCAAGGTGGGTACAAACAAACTCACTGCTATTCAGTCATAGTGACCCTTCAGGACAGGGGCCTTGTGAGTTCCAGAAGTTGTAACTCTTTATGGGAATAAAAAGCTGTCCCTTTCTCTTAGAGCGGCTGGTAGCTTTGAACTGCTGACACATAACCATAACCAACTACAACATATAACCACTACAATACCAGGGCTCCTACTAGGTGGCTAAATCCGACCTTTATCATCAATTCCATGGCAAGGACCAGCATGGATCCGATAACTAGCTAGAAATAGATTTAGGGTTTACCTTCCTACATTCTCCCATATCTTGTTGCCAGCCATTTCCTTGGCAAGTTTTCTCCCTGACTCTTATCCCTGACTACCCAAAGCTGGGTCAAACATGCCTGTCCACATGAGGTTCAGGCAATGAGGAGCAAGTGTAGGCATAGGAGTCAGTACTCAGATCAGTCAGGCCCTTTCTCTCTAGTCCCCTGGGACTAGGTCCCGATTTGAAAGACCGTTCTCCTTCAACTGTGTATGTAGCCTTTCTCTGACCACAGTCACCAAAAGCTGGCTCTCAGTAGTTAGGGCTCTGTCCCTAAGACGGTCTTCCCAGGCCTCTCCTCTGGATTAGCTACACCAAACCTGGTGGCTTTGTTAACTCAATATAGTAGCTGACAAAATTCACAGAGATGATTACCTACATTTCCAGTCACTCATTTGTTACAACCAGGTATAATACAAGCGAAGACATGCATCAGGCCAGTTCTGGGACTTGCAGCACCAGGGCCCCCAGTCTCTTCAGGGAAGGGCTGCACCCTCTCTAATGCATGAATGTTCTCTCACCGTTCCAGGAGGCCCCAAAGAGAGCTCCAAGGCCCAGGGTCCCTCAGTTCCTGAGAACTCAACGTGTCTGCAGGACAACAGCCTTAATGCATAATTATGATCTAGCCAATCAAAGAACAGGCATGATGCATATGCCGCCTCTCTTTCTGATGTTACGTGGGCAGGGCCTGGGTAGCCCCTACTTACTTGCTTCAATAGTTTGGGAAACAAATGTACCTTAAATTGCTCAGGCATATTTCTAAAAATAAATAAATACAGAAGTCCAGTTCTCTGTCTCACAAGGACCAACAGTGGAAAAGCTCAAACCATTTCCTCTGCACTTCATCTTGCTATCTCCTTTTAGAACTCAGTTAGATAATTACAGACCTTTATGCACGAAGCTCTAGAAGTGATTAGACACAATAGTTTGGCTGGAGTGCTCTCTCGAGATTGCTTGAATTAATTCACCAATAATAGACTATCAGGAATTGATTTCAAATAATTTATCAAAAGTATAGATTCATGGGCTGTTTCCCCCCCATCCCCGTAAGAAGGCAGCCTTTGCCATGGAAATACCTGAATCAGTTCTTCCTCTGGATGTGAAGCAAATTTTTCTCTTAATGCGTATAGCTGAAGTGCAAGGTAGTAACATTCTTTTCTCAGTTGCAGAATGATATTCTGGGCTTCTCTCACTTTGGATTTTTCATTTTCTAAGGCCAAAACCAACATTCGATTGTTGTCCTGGTAATTCTTCAGCAGTGAAGTGTTGCCTATTAGAGGAATTAAAAAAAAATACAAACCACAAACCAGTTGTATTAGTTCCTAAACTTAAAAGGTTAAAAATGATGCAAAAGGATAGCATAACCAGCTCTTACTGGTTATCTGGCATGGCGCTGCTACAAAAGACTTGCGTTTGCCAATCTCCGACAAGTTTTTATTCCTTTTCTCTTTCATTCGTTTCTTTATGTCTTCAAGGCTATCCTGAAAGGACCTTTTAAGACACCGTTCCTTGGCCATCTTCTGCCTAATAAGAAAGAAACGAAAATAAATCCAGGTCGAAAACAAAAACATAACAAAAATAAATCCAGGTCGATCCAGAAAGAATCGACTGAACTGGGATGCTGATGCTCTTGAGCATCTTCTCTACGATATTTAATCAAGTTAACAACACAAAAGAAACTTGTTGATAGGAAATTTTATTCCCGGTCGACCCAAGATGTTTACAAAGGGGTGTGGCAGGGAGAGGGGAAAGAAAACAGACAGCTGAGATGTCGGTGCTGTTTCCTCCTCTTCCATTTCATTTAGGATGAAATCCATTTATTTGATAAAATAATTGCATACCAACTGTGTGCAATCACTGTGCAAGGCTTCTGGGAATATGAAGATGAATTAGTTATTAACAATCCTCTTATTCGAACTCATTAAAAGCACAGTCAAAGGAATTTCCCTTCAAGGTGTCATATGCTGTGTGCCGTAAAAATGGCAAGTCAATCGTCTTATGAAGTCCGATTCATAAGAACACGAGAGAGTGATCTAGCATTGTCTCCCGGGTCCTGCTGCCAGGACAGCGCGGGTCAGTGTGGTCTGTCCACAAAGTACGCTCTCAGTCCAGAGTCTCACGTTTGTGGCCTTGCGGTGGGCGCCCCAGGCCACAACGACCCCACAGGGCCTTTGCTGCAGGGCCTGCCCGACACAACTCCGAGAGGTGGGAGGGTCGGGCTTCCACTTATATAACAAAAGAAGGAATGAGCCGCTGACAGTGCAGATGCGAACCCCGCTCAGGCCGATCTTCGCTGGACACAGCGAGTCCCGAGCGAGGCGGCGCGGGGCGCACGACACCCCAGCTCCACTCCTGCCCCCTGCGGCCGTCCTTCCCCCTGGGGAGCCGGGGAAGGCGTGCCGGAGGCGGTCCGGCAGGCCCGTTCAGAACAGTACCTCAGTCGCCGCCACCCTCCTCACATCCTAAGCCTCCGCGAGGCTGTCCAGCCACACGCGAGCCCTGGACCGGGGCTCCCCGCGAATGGGGCTCCGCCGTCTCGATCGACTTCCGCGCATACATTCGAAATTCTCCGCTGCGCTCGCCCATTGGCTAGCTTGGGGGAGACCACGTGACACCACGCCGCCGCCGCCACTCAAAGCGCGGGGCGAGTCCCGCCTCTTCCGGCGGTTCCACATCCGGGCATCGCAACGCCAACCTCGAGGGCGGGGCCGCTCATTCAGGCGTGTGATTGGTCGGGGTCTCGGTGCTGTGGCGGTCGAGCCGCTCCGGGAGCCGAGGGGTGACTTTTCTAAGGATCAAAAGTGAATGGTCGAGTTGGAGTCACAGAGAATCCGTGGGACAGCAAATCTTTACGGAAGCAGACTGCCACGTCTGCGTCCGGCGGAGCGGCTGCGGGCGTGACCGGCGGGCCTGTGGTTAGCCGCCGGGCGCTGCACCCCCGGCACCGCTAGTGTTCCCGGGAGTCGTTTAGGTGGCCCAGCACCGTCCGGTTCCTCTTATCTTAAAATTTTTTTTTTTATTAAATCATTTTATTGAGGGCTCTTATCTTAACGGACACGTCTCTGTCTCGGAGGCGGTACTCAAGAGCTCCCTCTTGTGAGAAGAGTCTTGATTGCCAGCCTCGGTAGCCAGTTCCAAAAGGAAATGAAAAACCAAGTTACCAAAATTTGGATTAACAGGATAGTCTTAGGGAAATTGAAGATATCGGAACGATTCGCCGCTTGTAGGAGGTTCTTCTGCTTTTCTGCCTGGCTTCTTATTTGCAGGAAATGGAACCAGCATCCCTACAGGAGTCTTTTATGGATTCTCTATCCTCCGTCTGCCCAGTCACCGACTTTCGTCAATTCTCACGGCCGCCCCCTTGATGCCATTCCCTAATCTGGCAGTCTCCTACTACATCGCTGAGGTGTAGCAGGGCCTCGGAGAGTCTGAGGCAACTCTCCTCCCGTGTGTGTTTCATAGCCAGAGTGCTGTGTGTGTGTGTGCGCGCCAATTTAATTTTTTCATAATTTAGGAGGGCAAAAGGCTGAAACCAGGGTGCTTACCCAAGGGGAAGGCTTTCCCTCTCTGCTGGGTCTCAACTTTGCATTCTTTCAACTTCGGATCCTCGGAGATCTTCCTGCTACTTGGCATCCATCGATCTTTCGCCATCTTTGCTCGTCTGCTTCCTCCCTCACTTGATCTGCTCATTTTAAATCTCCAAAGAGTTTGATATAAAATACTCCTTATTAACACAACACAGGGAATGCATTCCCAAATGGGATGATAACCAGACGTACAGGAGTTAGAGTTTAGCACACATATTTTTGGGGGGACACAATTCAGCCCCTAGCAGGTGGGGATTCACAATAGAGCGGGCTGCGGGAGCACTCAGGAAGGCTGGTGGAGCAGGCCCTCCTGGTGAAGCCTGTGGAGTCCAAAGATAACCTTGAATTCTTTGTTTGTTTGACACTAGCTTGTGTGACACAAAAGAATTTAAGTCAGTTTCACGTTTTACTTTTCTGTTATAACCACTCAGACCAGTGTTTAGGTCTGATAGATAGGTAAGGAATCTGGAGAGGTTTAAGGCTGTGCCTCTTCTCTCTCTTTTAATGTGACCCCTTTCTCTTCAATAGCATTGCTAATTGTATTCATTATTCTAATCCCCCCTTTTATTTGTGGAATATAACACATAGAAAAACATACCGTATATGCTCGGGTATAAGCCGAGTTTTTCAGCCCATTTTTAATGCAGTTTTTGTGGTAAAATTAGGTGCCTCTGCTGATATTCGGGTCGGCTTATAATCAAGTATATACAGCACTATATGGAGTTGCACCGCTGTCTCATTGAAACAGTGACAGCATCCCAGTAAATAGCTCCCCATCCCCATGTTTGTGCTTTTTTCTTCTTTGCCCACCTATCCTCTCTGTATCTCTCTATCCCATCCCGTCCCACTCCCTGACCTCGTCATCATCTTCAAAGTCTTTTCCTTCAGTGTGAAAACTACTTTCCTCCTGTATAATAATGATGTTATGAAATATTTATTTTTATGAGATTACATAGCTAACTTTGCTGAGCATAATGTACTCCAGTTTTGTTTATGTTGTAAAGTGTTTGACCCAGACTCATAATTGTTTCATAAGGATGCATAATACTCCATGGTATGTACCAGAGATTGTTTACCCTTTCCTACACAGATGTGGTGTTTGGTTGTTTCCATCTTTTTGCTATTATAGAAATCGCTGTGATAAATATGGGTGTGCATTTGTCGATTCATGTTTTGTTCTTTATTTCTTTAGGATATACTCCAAGTAGAAAGATTGTAGGATCATGAGGTATTTGTATTTGCATACTGTTTGCCATGGTGGTTATATAGCTCTGTAATCCCACCAGCAATACATGCGTTCCAATCTCTCCATGTCCTCCCCAACATTGATTAGTGTCTGTTCTTCTGAACTCTGGTAAGAGGGTCTGTGTGAGGTGGTAGCTCACTGTTGTTTTAAATTGTATTTCTCTTACAGCTAATGGATGTGAGCATTTCTTGACACGCTTGCTGGCCACCTGGGTGTCATCTTTAGTAAATCATCTATTCATGCCCTGTGCCCATTTTTTGATTAGGTTATTTATATTTTTCTTATTAAGATGTAACTTTCTATACACTTTTAATGTTGGCCCTTTATCTGCTATATCATTGTCAAATATTTTCTCCCAGTCTTTGGGTTCTCTTTTTATTCTTTTGATAAAGCCATTTGATGTATATAAATGTTCTATTATTGAAGGTCTGAGATTCTTATTTTGTCTTCTGTAATGTAGGTGTTTTTAACACTTTGGTGATGTATTATACCTTCTACTAGGGCCCTTAAGTTTGTACCTATGTTTTCATTGACAATCCTTATGGTTCTAAGAGTTTATATTTAGGTTTTTAATCTATCTTGAATTTGTTTTTGTACACGGTCTCAGGTATGGGCCCTGTTTCATTCGTTTGCCAGTGAAGATTTTTCCAGCACCATTTATTGAAAAGGCTATATCTTCCTTATTTAATGTGTTTTAGTTTTTTATCAAGGAGGTACCTGTTGACATAGTGGCTACATATTGGGCTGCTAACCCAGAAGTTAGCAGTTCAAAATCAGCAGTTAGCTCTGCGGGGGTGGGGGGTGGGGGGGTAGGGTTGAGGCTTTCTACTCCCATGAAGAGTTTCAGTCTCAGAAACCCACAAGAGCAGTTCTACTTTGTCCTATAGGGTCACCATGGATCAGAGTTGAGTCAATGGCACTAAGATTTGCTTTTTTGCATTAAATTTATAGAATGCTTTCAGTATTAGTCTGTGTTAGACCTGGTCGACTAGAGAAACAAATTCATTGGCACTCCTGTATGTGTAAGAGAGAAAGCTTTTTATATCATAGAACAATTGCATAGGGGAAAACACCTGAGCCCAGTCCAAATCAAGTCCGTAAGTCGGATATTAGCCCATATTTCTAATATTAGTCTATAAATTCCTCTGGAGACTCATGCAGTCATATGCAATGATGCCGAATGCAGGGAGATCACAAGCCAGTGGGTGCAGAGTCTTGTGGATTCTGTGGTGTTTGGAAGCATCTCCAGGTGACAGTGTGGCTCCAGCAGCTTTCGAGTGACTAAAACAGCAGGAAGGTGAGGCAGGGAGAGAGAGGTTCTCACAGGGATCAGTGGGTCTTGGAGGGTCTTATCCAGAGGAAGATAAAGGCAGAGAGAGCTAGAGGAAGTTCCCAGAACTTCATGAGAAGGCTATGCCCACAGGGAGGCATCACCAAGCTGTAACCTGATTGGCAGGCTAAACTCCACCCCTTCATTCTATCAAGTTGACATGAATTGTGTAACTACCACACAGTCTCTATTGGCTTCCTGTAGAAATGTTTGATAGTTTTCTTTGTATGTCTTTTGTTTCCCTGGTAAGCTTTCTTCCTAAGTATTTTATCTTTTGGGTTTGTTGTTCTTGTTAGGTGCCGGGTCAGTTCTGACTCACAGTGAGCTTCTGTACAACAGAAGGAAACACGGCCCAGCTTTGCACCGTCCTCATAATTGTTTTATGTTTGAGCCCAGTGTTTCAGCCACGGTTAGAATTTCCACATAATTTCAGAGAACACATTTCCATCCGTAATGTCATCTACCTTAAAACTGATGACTCCTATTTTCTATGTGGTGCCTTCAGATGTACAGGGTCACACCGTTCTGGCCACATGCCTTGTTAAAACGCTGTAACTCAAGAGTGTGTCTTTTTATATCATCAGGTTCTGATATCTGGGTAAACATAGTTATTGACAAAAAAAAAACCTCTGGGCATTTTGCATATTGAAAAGCCATTAGCACCAATCTCCCCAGCATTATCCCCAAGAAAACATTCATCCAGTTATAGTCTCTATAGATGGCCCCTCCTGGATTTCATACATGGAAAAACATGCAAAACCC